GGGGGGGGGGAGGAGGGCTGCTGTTTGAGTTTCTAAGAACGCATTTTTAGTGGCAAGTAGAGTATGAATCACATTCTGTTCTCATCTTTAACTTCTCTTTCTTACTGAAACGGAATAATTTTTAATCCTGAAACCTCTGCCTAGCTATGCTTTGTGCTAGTCTGTGTCAGTGTTACTTGAACGATGTTTTGTGTAGTATTGTAGAAGTTCAAAATGGTTTCTTTGGAACGCTAGAATTGACTCTTTCAATAAAAAGTTATGTAGATTCCCATAAGCCCTAATCAAAATTATTTGCTGAAGATCATTCTACCTACGAAAACTTCATCAGTATCAAATGCCCACCATAGACCAGGATAAACACATACTTCCCTGTGTAACTTTCCACAGAATTACAGTGGCATTATGAAAAGCAATGCAAATTATTAACGCTTGGCTTACAGGATCTTGCTCATGAAATTGTGCACATTAGTCTCCGAGGATGTCACATACATACGGACCATGTGTAAATGACTAGCAGGCAAGACTCCAGCACACTGAAAGATGAACAGCACTCTAAAAGGTGAATTTGCAGGATCATTTTCATCTTTCTGAAGTGAAACTTCCCACTGAAAGGAAAAGTAATGCCAAATGAGCCCTAAACGTTATGAAAGATCCAAACAGGTTGCTAATGACTTAGTCGTTTCTGTCCCCTTTATAAACTGGTTGGTTCAGGGTAGACACTTAGCCCTTTTATGCTCTCACTTTTCCTAACAGGTGAAAAAACTTGAAGCAAGATATGCAGAGTAGGAATCTGGATTGAAAGTCATGCCAGCTGACTCTAAAGTGCCAATACTTTTAGTAGGACAGTCTGATGATAATACAGATGCACATATTGATTACTTAATTAGTACAATTGCTGTACTTGATTATTACAGCAATGTTTGTTATTAGCGCTTATTTTAGTAAAATTCAAATGCAATTAAATGTAGCAGATTTATTTAGTAAAGTAACACAGTTTCACTGAAGTTTCTGGATATATGACGAAATAATAGAATGTGCTTTGCACTTAAAACTGATTAAACTGTTAAGATGAAATTCACCTCATATGTAACTACAGAACCTTTAAGAATTTTAAAATCTTGGGTCTTAGCTTCTCAAATTCTTAACAGCAGTTTGGAAAATAAGAGCTGTCCAGTGGTCTTCTCATTACTAATACTCAATTATGAACTTTTCCATAAGTATAGAGGACACAGCCGTCAAACTTCCTGGATAATTTCAACAACCTGTTCTTTGTACTTAAATAATTTACTTCCTTCAGCCATTTCTATCCTTGAAGTTTATTATATGTTTGCCTTATTGCAAAGCATCAATTTCCATTAGCTTAGTTTTTCAAACAAAGAAAACACATTAAAAAGCAAAGTAGCAGATTCTAGAATCTTTGATGTTAGGGTGGTTTTTGAGTTGTGCAAAAGAAAAGGTATGCAAAGTGATTAGCTGAAACTTTTTCATGTGATTATATATCCATACATGAGACAACTATTTCCTCCTATAATGATCAGTAAGTCATAGCAACTGCGAAGAAGATGATTTCCCAACTGATATATATCTGAATAGACCTAACTTTTTTTGTGTCAGTCTTTGGGGAAGCAGTAAAGGGATCTTTACAAAGGAGAAAGTGTTAATGCTTTAAATCACTGCACAAATATGCAACTATATTTTACATATGAAGTGTTAAACTAGGAATTATCACAGGATATGACACTATTAATATCAATTAGTGCATTTAGAAAAGACAGATATAAGACATCACACTTTAAAAGGGAAAAAACAGGTTTATTCCATGCAGTTTACAATACACTAGTGTTATGAAAAAGAAGTTAAAAAAATACCCACACACATTTAATTTGTTTGTTTTGAAAGTGACGGTTAACTGTAACCACCTTCAAATTATTTGGGAAGCCCTAGCAGATTTTTTCCCAGGGAAAAAATTTCCCTGAATTCAGTTTCTTGTCTGTGCCTGTGCTATGAGTTTTGCTTAATGCAAATGCATTAAAACCAAATCAAAACTCAAATTTTGCTGCAGTAAGAACACTTCAGAGATAAATAACTGGCACAAAATAAAGTGTTATTGCTAATCCACTATCCAGGAAATAACGTGTTGCAAGTATGGCCACTCGGTTATAAGCACAAACAGCTGATGCACAACTGATTTTGAGACCAGTGATTTGGAGGAAAAGGTAAAAAAAAAACCAAACATATGTTGAATTGGGTAGGTGGTCCTAAAGAGTGCATAGGAAGTAGATTTTTTTATAACTACGTTGAGATAAAGGTAAAGACAGAAGCAGGTGGAAAAAGCTGCCATTTGATACTTCTTCAGTTTGGTGATCTTCTTTCAGTTCCAGGTAGAGACGCTGGCAACATTCCTTTTAAGAGCGCCTTGGCACTTTGCTTCGTTGTAGCAAGTACACATGAGCCAAGTTAACATCAGTAAAGCTGTGCATAAGCTTTCGGAAAATCTTCAGAAGTAGCAAGAATCATGTACAGTAAATACATTTATTCTTTACTCATTTCAGATGACGAGGCCTCAAAATCACAACAGGTCTTAGGTCAAAATTTAGGCTCAGCTTTCTAAGTCAAGGAAGAGCACTGACACAGAACCTCTTCCACTTCCACTCACCCCCAAAGTAGCAAAATAACTTCTAGAAGTTTCTTTCATTATGGTAGTTTTTAAGACACAACATCCTTAAGAGAACCCTCTGATGTGTCCAGAAAGCTGTATTTGCAGCAGTGTCTATTCTGAGCTATCTATTCAGTATCTATACTGAACTTACGAGAAGTTTATGCCTTGGTAGACGTTGCTAAAGTAAAGATCAACTAAATTGCAAAGAAATATTCTGTGACAATTTCCTGGGGCAGAATCTCCCTCAAAGCTTTTTTACTGCCAGTGCTGTTCATAAAAAGTTGTTAGATTTCAGCAAAGGTAATAATAAAGTGGAGGATAAGTACTGCCTTCTCTAGTGTGCTCTTATCCAATCTGAATACTGAAAATCCAAGCCATACAGGAACACTTACATCTGCAACTGGTTCAGCCATTTGTAAAAATTATTTTAGAGTCCATGAATTGAAAAGAAAACAGACTAGTTGTTTTTTTAAACATTGTATGTCTCTGGAATCTCAAATTAGCCCTGGAAAGCATTTTAGCCCTTAGCATTTATGCTCTGAAAATGGAAAGAGTTCCTTTTGACAGTCATTTAGGCAATCTGGACAGTAAGATCTATTTAGCCCTTTAAAGCCTCTGTTCATTAAGAAGCCTTTAAAGACAACTCCTGATTTTTGTGAAACAAAAGAAAATTTATACGACACTGAGTTCAGAAAGCCTTCCACTTTTTTTTTTTTTATACTAAATATTTATACTATTTAAAGACTCAATAATTCTACACAAAAAAACCCACCTAAGATCCCAAGATTGTCCTTAAAACTGGAGATAACTGCAGTCTAAACTACAACCAAGTAACAGGCAGCATCCTCGGACTTAAGTATTTCAATACTGTCGTGTCAGAAAAGACACTTCTCCAATGACCACTCAGGTTTTAACCCTACTGTCTTAAGGTAACAGACACTGTTAAAGGTGTAACAAAATTTCATCTCTTTTCAAGAGCCCCACAGTTCAAGGGCTGATTGAAAAAGTTAATTTGAAAAACCTGAAACTTTTAATGTGGTGAGAGAATAAAAATTGGAGAATGGCGCTTTCTGATTTTATCACATCTCAAGAGAACAAAACCCCAGACTTCATCACCAAGCTTTCATTTGACTTCCATCTTCCTCAAAGAGCCCAGGAAAACTTCACTCTTCCCCCAGTACTTCCCAAGGAATACATTCCAGTATACATGGGTAATTATAATCCAGACTGTATTTAATTCCACTGGACCAGATACTATTGCATTTTTGCACTCCAAGTTAATATTTTTTGTAATATTAATAAAAATGTGTAACTACTATGTGTTTATTTGCTGGTGGTAGCCCTCTACAGCTTAAACAGGGACTGACAACTTTCTAGAACCTCAACAGACATCCACAGAATAGTGTCCTGTTATGAGAAGCACTGTTCTGATAACACTATCATCCTACTCAGCAAACTTCTTCCCCTTGTTGCATGCCTGCAACCAAGTTATCTTTTGTTTAATCTACCAGTTTTCATATTTCTCCTGAAAAAAACCAAAAACATCACCTCTCCCAGAAAAAGAGAAGATTGATTCCATTTTTGAATCTGCAGGAAACAGTCCTGTTTCTAATCAGTCATAACTGTGCATTCACATTGGTAGAAATGGAGCTAAACAGCTATTGTCCAAAGAAAATCTGAAAACAAAGAAGTCAGATGGATTCACCAAGCATCATTTTTAAAGAAATATCTTCTCCTAATGCTAAATGCAAGATGAAAGGAACTTTTATCATTACAAGAAATCGGAGTTTGAAAAAAACACAGTACATTTTCCAACTTTTATGAGCATATGATTCTGATGATAGAAATTTTAGTAAAGAATTAAAAAAAGCTGCTTAATTTGATCAAGTCTTTGACACACAACTAAATTACTGTAGGATAAAGAAACTGCAATTAACCGTAATCCATGGAAATCCCACAGTAAGTTGGACAAAATCCCAGATAACCTTTGGGCTGGAAGCTGCCAAGTCAGAGTTATACATCTGGACAGTTATTAATGGACCATATGACATTCATGTCTTTGAGGCCTCAGAATTACATGTCCATTGCAAACAAATTCTGATTCACTTGTCGCTTGAAGAAGTCAAAAGCATGTAATATAAAAATGTCACCTCCAATAAAGGAAAATAGCCTCTGAGAAAACTTAAGGCTAACTCAAAGCAAGAAATTGCTATAGCAGATTTGAACTTCTGTTTTCAAACAAGTTTTGCAACATGTTTGTCATGTAAATGCATTTGAGGAATTTCATCTCTCTCCCTTCCTCTGCTTTATTCCTTCTGCTATGATCTCTTCGAGCTCAGGATCTAAAGTTCTAACCTGGAATACTGTTCTGATTTAAGGATAGAGGAGCTATGACCAGAGTTAAGTCCAAGGAGTTTGTAGTACAGCTGTGCAGCTCCAGCCTGATAGTGAACCCCTCAGCTCTGCACAGTCACAGGCAATTCTCAGGTAGGTACTCTCCAAATGGCAGAAAAGGAACAAAGGACTCCAGTTTAAACTATACATGTACATTGCTTCATCCTGCAAGATCTTAACAGATGAAGCAATGTTTGCAAAGCATGGTGATGCCGCTTGGATTTTAATGCAATTACCTCATTACTGTCACTAACTTTATTTGAAACTGCAACAGTCAAACAAAAAGAAACTAAACTTATTTAGGGATAAATTCTTAATGCCTTGAAAAAAGCTGAAGAGAGCATTTCCATCTATCTGAAAGCCTCACACGATCACAAAAATTAAAGCAATAATGACAAAAGCAAGAACAGGAAAGTAGTTGGTTCAGGCGGTCTCAAACAACAGCATATTTAAAATAATTTACAAGGTACCTGCAAGTTCACTCTTTTATTTTCTTCTTAAAATCTTTGTGAGGTATTGGAAACAAAGTGCAAAAAATTATTAAACACTCATTTCCCTAAATTTAGCTATGGTAGGAATACATTGTAAACTAAACTGCAGGTAATCTCATCATAAAAGCAGGATTTAAAACTGAAAATATTCTAGTGGAAAAAAACCCCCAAACCTAGGAAAAAATACTCTTTTTACATACTCTAAATTTGTTCAGTTTGCTTAGTTTGTTACTCATGCTTTGCTGATGCAATTATGGAAAATTTCAATTTATTAAATAACCTGTCCTTTTTGGGTTGAGAGAGGCAACAGAAATACTGATTCAGAAGGATCACTGTGAAACTGGTATCTTGGGCATTAAAATCCACTAAGATCAATGCTGAATTACTCTGCAGAGCACATCAAAAAAACAAGTGACATGGTTAGCTGCAATTCCATGAGCCAGGGAGCTCAGAGAATTTGGTGGAGTCATACTGCTTAAAAACACAGTGACTACTGCAGCAGAGGAAATGTTTTAATATGCACTTAACACAGACAATTGTTATGCTTATTTTCAGATACACAAGATAATCTGTCACTATTTAGGGGACATCTGTGTGCTCAATTTGAGATGATAAAATATGGGTACCTAAAAAAGTATAAAAGTATAAACATTTCCCCCTACACAATTACAATTTTAGTAAATTAAATTCAGATTTAACTTCCTAAAAAAAGACGAAAACTGTACGTGTTGTGGCGGGGCCAGCAGCTTCCTGTGCAGACCACATCCAAGTCGCAAAATGCATTACAAATCCTTTCAAGCATTAGGCACACGGACAAAACATTTAGCCCATTGCTTAACCTGTTTAGTAGAAATGTTTCTTACAAATTGTTTCACCAGACTTTTATCAATATGTAAGTCCTTTAAAAAAAATTCTAAAAAAAATAAAAGAAAAAAAGTAGACCCTGGGTGTTTGAAAATCAGGTCTTTGTGTAAAGAATTACCTACAGTATATGCATAAAATCTGAAATGATAAGAATGAAAACTGTAATATCTTTAGAATTTAAAACCATCCTGTAGCTCTTTGAAACCCCCCTCCATGGGTTCCATGAGTCAATGAAGCCAAGTTTTATACTGTCCATTTCATTAAGTGTTTTAAAGATGTGCTAAAGATTTTGCTCAAAATATAGTGTGTCTTGTGTATTAGCCTGCATCCAGGACAAACTAACAAAGCTGCACCACATTCTGTTCAAACACTGTTCTTAACTGCATAGTTGAAACTGTATAGAAAGAGAAAGGTTGATTACAGGTATTCTGAATATCCAAAGTAATCAGGTTTTTCAACTGAATGAGTTTAGGTTCACACTAAGGTTGATTTTAATCTGTGTCATAGAGACAAGGACCTAGGACTAGCCAGCTGTATTTCTGTAAAACCTTCCACTCTAGAAAAATCTCTACCCTAATCCACACAGTTCAATGTTTTATAGGCATTTTATAAAAGCACAAACACACATAAAAGTACAAACACCTCCAAAGAAACAGAATGTTCAATTGGTCATTTTAAGTGAATTTTGATTCCACTTTCAAGCATGTGACCAGGACTGGAGCATAACTTTTGCAGGAGACTGTTTCAACAGAGAGAACATCAAGAATAACTCAGAGGAAGGCCATTTTCTCTGAGTTTAGTCTTCCCTTTGGGTATTAAAATAAGCTACCTATCCAGTCAATATATACACCCTTCAGAGAAACCTTTTCTCTGTTGTGTAACTTTTACACATGCTAGTTTCAGTTGATCTCCTAGGCTGTTATTACATAATAGATTATGTCACAGAGCCATAAGGAATGTGCAGTATAATACAGTCAACTGGGGCTGACACTGATTCTGAAACAACATACGCCCAAATACTTGCATTTCTGGGCTGTAACGTGTGTGTGTGTGTGTGTGTGTGTGTGTGCACGCATATGTCTGAAAGCGTGCGTGTGTGCGTGTGTGTGTGTGTATGTGTGTGTGTGTGTGTGTGTAGCACCAATTACACTGTCCTTTTAAGGTTTACAAAGATCAGTAGGAAAATGTCTCCAAACTGATCAACATTGGGTCGTCCAGCACCAGACATCAAGTGCTACATGTCTCCGAGGAAAATATGAGTGCATGGTCATTTCTTTTCAAATGACCAGTATCAATCAGCCAACAAGAGACTACAACCATGCACTACAACCAAAACTTAACACACACTCCCACATCATCTATTCCCATTATGTAATCTTGCAATGCTTCCAGAAGTTGACACCAGCTTATAGGCAAATATGGTTGAACCCAGATCAACAGAAAATTGTCTAAATCAGATTTTTTCTTTTGCAGCCAAGCCTCTTCAGTGTGACAATTCACTGCATCTTCAAGTAAAAGAGAAAAATTGTCACCGTTCAATACTTTCTTCACATCCTGGAACCTCGTTCTTGCAAAATCTGAAATAGACCAATAAAAATTCTATAAATGGAAATTAGCTCATTGTCATTCCTAAAGCACAGAGATCAAATAGCAACATAATGACTATTTTAAATAAGTGGTACTGTGTCAGGGACCTGGACTGAGGACATTCCTGGGGTCTGTGCTTTAAATCTGAAAAAAGACAGACCGATATGTACAATGTCTACTTTCAAATACTATTATATCAGATGTAAAATATTGCTAGGAATTGAGTATTATTAATATAAATAATTAATACATTAATAAGACTTAAGAGTTTGCAATTGTAAAAAGTAAGCCACTGCACCTCAGCTTAGTTCAGAAGATCCTGAGGTCCTATGTGGTAAATTAACCTGGGTACTTCACTAGAAACTGAATCTTCATTTATCCTGTTCCAGTAAAATGTCCTTAAGTTTCTGAAGTTTCAGATGCAAATTGTATTCCATAAATTAGTACTGAAAACATGAACTAGTAAATCAAAATGTGCAGAAATGGCACACTGGGTGCAACGATGCACAGAGTTTTTAAAGGCCAAGTACAGCCTGGCAAGATTTAAATCGACACCCATTCTACTACCACTTTGAGTATTTTCTCTCCTTTTCTGTTTCAGTTTTTTTTGACTCCTCCAAAGAGGAAAGGATCCAAGTCTTAGGACTGATTGTTCAAGCAACAATATTTTAATGTTGCTGCTCTAAACTGAATCACAACCAGCAGTAACAAGGTGAAGTGTCATACTACTGTGTAGTACTTCAGAATTGTGTCAGCAGGCTGTGGAACCAGTCACGTCAAAAGGCAAACAAAGCACTAAGCAAAGCTTCAAATGTACTGAGCACAAGTACTTAAGAATGCTAATCAGTGAGTAAAAGTTTTATGATACTTCATCTTCTTTTGCCTCTTGATAGTTTTCCTAGTATGGGGAAGGGCTCTTTCTTTCAGAAGCTGAAAGTAAGCAAAGGTACAACCCCTAAACAATGGCAGAGCTACCCTCAAGATGGAATTTTCTTCTATTATGATCTTCGTGCAGCCTGATGTTACAACAAACACTCAGTAACACATTCCAGCCCACAGAATCTGCCAGCATATACAAACACTTCAATCTCTGTGCTTGTAAGGTAAAGGCTGGCAACTGCTTCACACAGCAGTTTCAAGTACGGTTTTAAATTTTATGAGCTGAAGTATTTGATTTCCTTTTAATATTGTTAAAATGGCTATTTTATCTTTCATAAATAAGACTTCACTGAAGTCAAGCAAGGTCTCACCTGCTTTGCTCAGCTCCATGGGATTTTTTTAAGGGCTGAAGTTCATAAAACACCCATTACCGTTTGTGTAGCTCAGGGACAGTTCAGAGGCAGTGCAGTGTTAGCCAAAAAATTTAAAATCCACTTCATAACTTGCTCACTGTACTCCCTCCTACACCTGGATCCAGCTTTGTGCGTACAAAGTTCTTTTCCATTTCAAATTCAGCTTTACTGTTTTGAAGTTATGAAGACAGATGTCAGTGCAACTACTTTGAAAAATTTCCAAAATACAGAAAAATGTTCTCCACTGGCCATGTCATGCTTTAAGGTACATTTTAGAAGCAAACACCTCTTATTTCATGAAGATAATTCATGAATGTTACATGTCACTATGTGTACTAAAGCAAAAAGGATTTCATATGAAACTATAGGAAAGATGTAAGGAAAAAACCCAGGCTTTGTAAATTACTCAGTAACTGCTTGTGTAATACATACAAAAGGGACTAGATAAACTTACAGAAGACAGTGCCACTGATACCAGGTCATGGTATTACAGTGCCATTGTAGCTTCCATACAGTGACCTGGATGAAGACTTGAAGCCCAAATTCCCAGACTGAGTTTTACTGGAAGGTGGGGAAATATATCACAAGTAGATATCATAAATCATAAATGCTTCATACTTAAACTCCTTCCCCAAGTACTTGCTGTTGATCAGAGCAGAGAACAAAATGCTGGAGTAGACATCCACAACAGAGATAACAGTCTGACCCAGCCAATGGAGTCAGTAAGTGAAACCATATCCAACAGAGACAAAAGCATGGCTGAAACAAATATCTGTGCAACTAGAAAATAATACTGGATATATTAATTTTGTTAATATTCCCGATTTAATATGAAGTGCTTGAGTTCATTCATTCCTAGAAAAGTACTTGTAAGATTAATAGACTTTGAACTGTTTTCAGTAGCATCAGGAGCACATGCAGTAAGATTAAGCTGAGCCAGATCTGGACACTGAATTTTGCACACTTTACTGAGCCAGTAATCCCAAGATAAAGCAGAGAAGTCTATTCCATCAGGCAGTATTTTAACACACTTTTCATGGTACTTCTTCTGTAACCTTTACCTCTACTGAAGGCGGAATCATAGAATCATAAGAGTGGGTTCGGTTGGAAGGGATCTTAAGGATCATCTCATTCAAACCCCTGCCATGGGCAAGGTCACCCTTCCACTGTCCCAGGTTGCTCCAGCCCTGTCCAACCTGGCTTTGGACCCTTCCAGAGATGGAGCAACCACAGCTTCTCTGGACAACCTGTGCCAGGTGTCTCACCACCTTAATTGTAAAAAGCATGCTCATCATTATATCCAATCTAAAGCTAGCCTCTTTCAGTTTAAAAACCTCACCCCTTGTCCTGTCACCATGAGCCCTGGTAAAAAATCTTTTTTCATCTTTCTTATAAGGCTTTTTAAGTATTGGAAATGCAGTAACATCGGCCCTAGGGCTCTCTTCTCCAGACCTAACAACCCCAACTGTCTCAGCCTGTCTACACAGGAGAGGTGTTCCAGCCCACAGGCTATTTTTGTCTCTCTCCTCTGGACCCACTCTCACAGGTTTTTTCTTGTACTGGGAATCCGAGAGCTGGATGCAGCATTCCAGGTGGGATTTTGTGAGAGTAGAGTCGATGGGGGAGAATCACTTCCCTCAGCCTGCTGGCCATGCATCTTTTGCTGCAGTCCTGGATAACTGGCCTTCTAGTCTGCAAATATTGCTGGCCCAAATTCAGGTCTTCACCTACCATTATTCCCAAGTCTTCTGCAATGCTGCAGTAAATCCATCTGTCACCCAGTCTGTACTGATACTGGGGGTTGTCCTAACTCTAGTACAGACTTGCTGTATAGAGGATTTTCCTTATTTTCATATTTCTGTTCTATTTTCCCTATAGGTGCACCAGATCCAAAGCCGGCTTAAAAATTCTAAACAATGCTGAATGAACACTCATATTCTAGGGGACTGAATGTGATTGCTTCTTAGAGAAGCAGAACATGACAACTATTTCTTCCCACTCAAAATAAAGCTACTGCTGATAGTAAAGTGTTTCAAGGACTGTGCCTCTCAGGGAGCTTAAGAATATTACATTCAATTCCAGGGGAGTGCCAGTTTATTTTGCTTCAATAAAGCCTCAGATTTGATCCGTTCCTGTCAGCTACTCCTGAAGACCTGGCAAAAGGCTTTACACTACCCTAGCAGTAGCTTCTGTTAGCATCATTTTAGAAAATAATATTGGTTCTTCTGCAGCCACGTGCAGCGACTTCACAGCATCACAGTGTATCCTGAGTTGAAAGGGACCCACAAGGATCATTAAGTGGCGATCCCGGCCTTGCACAAGACAGCCTCAAGAATCACACCATGTGCGTGAGAGCATTGTCCAAACTTCAGAGATAACTGTAAGGCTGCTTTACAGCTAAAAAGCTCAGGTATACAGGTGAAAAGCTGAAGTTTAATCTCATGCAATGGTACCTATCTTCAATTTATATAGGTTCAAGTGACCACCCAGAACATACCACTGAACATTCAACATTAGGTTACCTTCTGGAAACTAGAGAGTGGAATAAATATGAGAAGTACTTAAAGACACATTAGGAAAAGTGCCTAAATTGTTTTTTCAGATGAAGCTTTTTTTGTGCTCTTCCACTTGTGACTTTTAATGTAACTTGATCTTCAATCAGATGTCAAACTACAGTGGAAAGGATCCTTCCCCAGAGTTGCTTCCTGTCATAAATACAACTGTAGCACCAAGATCACACTATTTACTTGTATTTGCCACACCTTTACTAAAAAAATCCTTAGTTTCAAAGTTATCAGTTAAGACCACCTTTGAACTATGTTGCACTTCAATCAAGTTTGTTAAAATTATTGCCAAATCAGATATTTACTGAAAATGTATATAGTAAGTTTCGATCAGATGCCTCTACATGAAAAAAAACCTATCTGACAGAAAAGCTGGTGCACATAAAAAAAGAAAGAAATTAATGAATGAAAAGCAATTCTGGCCTTAGAATCTACATGAAGAACTTTCCTTCTCAGCAAAGCTTTAAAGGTACTACTCACAGTACAGTTTATAAAAGCAACATGAATTATTCTGTCAAAGAAGCAATATCCAGAACAGGAATTCTATCTTTGCCTACCATTCCACAACTATAATCACAAATACACACACACCACCAGGACTAGCCAAAGGACAGCACTAGTGGGGGTGGGAATTGGATGGGGCAGAAAAGCATCTGGTTAAAATCCTAGGGCAGCTAGTGCTCACCATGACATTTACACTTAATCTGAGTCATTCATATCGTAATCCGTTTCTTCATCCTCACTCTGAGTGTCATGCAGCATGCAGCACGTATAGAAGGAAGGGAAAAGAAGAGATTGTAAGTGAGTCAGAGCTGCAACAAAGTACAATCCACTTACACCTGAAGCATCTGGCAATGACACTTATTCACTTTTACCTGGGACCTTCACTCTTTGTATAAAAAAGTAAGACAGCTGACCATTACAAGAAGGAATGCAACAGATTTCATGACAATTTCCTCTTCCAAATATCCTGAAGTCAGCAGATAGACATCAATAGCCAGGTCAATAAAGTAGTATGAAAGAGAAGACTGCTTGTGGGAATACAGGCTACCAGTAAAAGCCAGTGGAACCATTTATGATTAATTTACTTAGCTTAGGTGTATTAGCAGGTTACACAGAAGTCATCTACTAACTTACTATGCTGTTAACTAAAAACAGAAAACACAAGAAAAAAGTCCCTAAGAATGAATGAAGGTGAAGCTTGATTAGATGGCTATCTGAAGATACTTTCTCCTATTCTGAAAATCCAGGACTATTAACTGAAACTGAAGTGTTTGTCAATGAAAATTACATACTGGCAGGTCTTTTTTTTCTCTAACTCAGTCTGCTGTAAAGGTAATAGGAGGACTTTCTTATAATTCAGTCTCCCAGTACATGAACATATTAGTCTGTACATAAAAGTAGATACCAGAATTTCTATCATATGAACTTCATGAAGACCAACTCAGACACTACTGAGACTAGAAGATAATGCTTGCTAAGAGGGAACTCTGGAGACAACATCTCCCAAAGTCAAGATTCCTGAACACAGCTGTCAGAAACCTCTCAAGAAAAAAAATAATTCTTTTTCCTTTTTTCCCCCAGTCACAACATATACCAATATACAAAAATACGATCTTTTAGAAAATACTATATAAAAGAATTATTCTTCAAGTATTGTCTATTAATTGCTAGCAACAGATTAACTCTTCCAGGACAAAAGGAGTGAATGTTTATATCTCCAACCAAAATTAACAGTAAATCCTATTCTTCACAGTGGTCAAATGATGCGCTGCTCTCATCTCTGAAACAATGACCAAGCAGCACATTAATGGAGACATCTAAGACAGCCTCTCTCAACGTTACTCCATTTACACAGTCGTAATGCAGTCTCAACTAGCTTTTGTTTTTTGTCTTTAACACTTGCATTTGGTCCATATTTTCTTTTACATTAAGGATGCAGTGTGACTCTGGCAACTTCTGAAACTACCTGAAGATGCACTACCGTTCCTTATGAAGATGTTTATTAGGCTCTAGAATTCTGCATTTTATTTCAGGTAGGTATCTCAGCCCTAAATTATCACCACACACCTCTAACATGTCAACTTTCAAAGTCTTCCTCAAGCATCCTGGCAAAAGCAGACCTTAACCAGGGTTTTGAAAGAGTAAGACATAGCTTACTCAGTTTCACTGTTTACCCCTGACTACATTGATCTTTTACAACCCATTGGAAGTTGTATCTCTACAGTGATGAACATAAGTTACTAATTTCACTAGGGATCCAACGTACAGCTTAGAGTATTTTTATAGTGCAAATTATAAAAATTATTCCATATGTGTAGCTCCATAACATGTTACAAAGCATAGAAAGCAATGAAGTTTAATCTATTTGAGGCCTCAGTACTAAGACTCAGAACCATTCCTAGCATTATTTCAAAATCAATTTCTTTGAAGGTGATTCTAGAAGAAGCAAGCTTTGATGTTTTACCAATTGTTTCCCATCTACATAAGGGAAATCAAAAGCTCTTAAGCAAACTACAGGTATAAGCATTTTGTCTGTCATTGTCATTTTGTAGTCATTGCCTCATACAAAGCAGCAATACAATGATAAAAGCTGTTCACTACTCATGACACTGAATATACTTACATTACAGAACTGCTCTGCCTTAAGACTAGTCAGCTGTGGATTTACATTTTCCTTTGTACCAATTCTGAAATACAACTGTGTAAAATGCTAAGATACTGTGCCCATTACAATCTTTTTGTAAAGTTGGTTACTGAAAGTAAACTTGGTAGAACCCTGAAAACATTAACAAGTACCCTCATTTTATAACATATTGCACATTACTGTTTTACAGAGACAGCATCTTTCGAGTTCCACTTTTGACAGTATTCTTCAGCTGAAGTCAAGCAAGAAAAACAGTTTTTAACTGAACCAGTGTCATTCAAATGTATAAGAAACAAAACCTAGTTTCTCAGCTGTAAAGAGCAAGTATCTGCCAATACCTGAAAAAAAGAGTTACTGAAAAAGTGGAGTATTGTATTTAAATAATTCAGGCATGCATAACAAATGCATGCTGACTGTACCATTTACAGTCCCTCATACAATGAACAAGGGGGAAAAAATGACAATTAAATAATGGTCCAGAATGGAAGTACATCTATCGTGACTTGTGAAGCCCACCCAATTCAACACCATTTCTTTAGTCCAGTGTCTAGTAACTCACCTTTGCTTTTTCACTGGGCTCACTGCTTGTGCCATAAGGAGTGTTATGCAATTCCTTTGAGACAACACACAGAAATTCAGCCTGATCTTCATTGCCATAGTTATAGGAAGAACCAATACTGACCAGCTGAAAGATGAAAAAAAAGAAAGTAAACTGTATTTCCACATAAAACAAATTTCATAAAGTCTAATGATTAGTACAAAGACTCCTCACTCTTCAGACTGTAGGCTGTGCCTGAAGCATAATTCTCCACTTCAATGCAAATACATTTTGATGCTGACAAATACATTGACAATACACACTTTGATGATAAGATACACGCAGTTGTTTTTTTCTCAACAGTTACAGAATTAACGATTTACAGTTATAATTATCCTGTGAAAGAAAAGACTGTGGAGGCAGGCCAGTGGAGAAGTAGCCTGTTCCCTGTTGCTGTTATTTACTGGAAACCTTCCTATCCTCCAAAGTTAATTTTTAAAGTTTATATGCAGTATCTTAATGTGACATGATTTACATGTAAATGGCTGCATGCAGGAACCTCTTTAGCCTGAAGGGACACCCATCACTACTTACAGAATAATGGTATTTCTATTAAAACGTATTTTGAATGAACAAACACAGTATTTGCATCTGACTGGAAAACAACAAGACACAGTGTGGTGGGACATCAAGATTAACATCTAAAATTCATACATACTGCTACAAGAAAGCTAATCAAGGTAGTGCTACAAGCAGAAGCCATGTATAATGAAATGTGACATATTTTCAAGTTCCTGCATTCTCTATATATATTGAATGATAAATGACAATTTACTGAGAAAGAATATACTCAACATCACTACTACTTCTTATGCAGCATGTTTATCAAATGGCAGAAATTGTCTTACCTTACACACAATACACTTACCTAATGCTAGAAGCTTTATATAGCCTGCCTTTCCAAGCCAGATTCAATTCATATGTAGCTGTTTCATTTATTTTAAAGTTTTATTTCAAAAGCACAACAAGACAATGTGTGATCTACAAGATAATGTCAGATCTACTGACACAAAGTCCTAAAAATAAAACTGTTGTTACCCAAATTATATTTATCCACCAAATCACCACACATATACAATAAGTCTGCCCTATTCCCAAATCTCTACTATACCATTTAAGTGCTCTAGAAATGGCCATACAGAAAAGTCCTAACTTATTTTTTTAGGGTAACAGCACTTAAAAAACTGCAGTTATCTCTGTGAAGACAAATAATGTACTACCATTAGTCTAGAAGAACACCAAAGAGAGTAAAGTATTTATTAAAGCATGAGAGATGAAACCAAAATGAAATCCTGATCCAGAGGTTGTACTTAAGGGATTAAATTATTCCCCCAACAAAAACTGAAGTTAGACCAAGGTTAAAAGCGGCTTCCATATAGCACTGCCAGAAGAAAACAAAGCCTCACTGTACTTTTTAAGGAGAGGACAGAGATGTTCAAATGTTCCCAAACTGCAGTAAGACAGCCAAGCAAGCACTTCCACAGATGGACAAAGCCAACGTCTACATAGTGCAGCATAGTGCAATCTGTCTACATAATGAATCAACTTGATGCCAGGCCTAGGCACTGTAAAAAGTTTCTGGAGCCTGATGATTTTACAGCATACAAGGCTCAGCCTTCCATGAGCAGTACTGGCCATCAAAATTCATTGCTCTCAAATTACGTACTTTAATAACACTGAGTGTGACCACCAGAAACCTCCCCTGCCTTCTCCTCTTCTAACACCACTCTAGTTCTGCAAAATATATACATAATCAGTAATGAACACAGGCTGATCAAACATTAATATGTTAAAGACATTTTTTCAACCAAAACTGTGTAATGAAGTTACGAACACCCAGGTTTCTTAGATGCACCAATGCATATACAAGACCTCATTTACCTTGAGATGTTAAATCAGCTAATCTTTCACGATGAGTACTATGCAGTCTGCACCATAACATATTTGTGTATTACAGAATCACAAAACCCACAGAGTAGTAAGTTTCTTTGTTGCACAAGATGGACTAAGAAAGTATACTGAAAAGCTGGAAAATCAACTCAAATTTACTTCAAATATTGAGATGATTTGTTGATTGTTTTCCCCATCAACAAAAATATACATAAATTTTCAGAAAAAAATAGCAGTTAAGTTGCCTTAAACTCAACAGAGTGGTATAAAGTTTACACTATATAGCAATTGCAAACCATTTAGAACAAATACAGTAACTGCTTCAATCATTAAGGTGAAAGGTAGGACATTGAACAGTTTTAAACACACTTAAAGGCTAGAAAACATTCAGAAAGCTTGCATACATATTTAAATAAAGCCACTCAAAATTCATGTTCTCTGAAGAGAAGTTTGAAGAATAAAATTCAAGCATAAAACTTAATTAGTATACAGTTGACTCTTCTTGGAAAATGGCAATAACTTGCTATTAGGTAAGCTATGGTAAGCACCAGAAGGTAAAATACTTCTTTACTTATTGACCCTATAAAGAAACAAATGACCTCTCTGAAAGCAGATACCATACAAGACCCAAACATCAGCCAAATAATCAATCCCGCTTCAACCAGGTTGACAGGTCTTCAGTGGGTAGCTACTAACAAATGCTTCATAATTCAACTACATGAATTAACCTTTTGCACATAAGTCTTTTCAGGAGACATGGAAGACTGAATACTTTTGGCCAGTTGGGTAGGACTATTAATTTAGCTGACTGCAAAACATTGAATGACTTTTTGCCACTACTGATCAGTTGATAAATTGATAAATTGATAAGTTGATATTGATCAGGCACTTTTGCAGAATTAGACCCAAGTTCCTCAAAACTCCAACTCACAATACTCTCATACACAGTTTCATATGTGTGCAGCTAAAAATGTGTAATTTGAATAGTAGCAACTGCATGCTAGAAATGTCACTGTAGCTTTCTGAAATGATCAACAGTAAGGCTGACGGCAGAAAAAGAAACAATGGAAAAAGACTGCCGATTAGAACTGATCTGTTCTGTCAGGAACTGAGACCAGAAATATGTTTTAGCACTCCTATTTCAACTCATTTCATTGTTCCCAGTATTGGTGACAACACTTTAAGAAGAATGCTGGTAAAAAAACCTGGAAGACCACCCCTGCCATGTCCCTCTGCCCCACACTACCACTGCCATCCTACCCCCTAAAAGAAGCCACAACGCACCAGAGTAATCTGAGGTATGAAAAACAGGTCAAAGGATTTCAGATTATCCAGACTACTGTTTCTCAGACTCTCTGAAAGGACAAACTGTTTTTGTTTTGAAGCCACATTTACTTCATGTGGCTTAAATTACCAAGAATTTAAGGAAGGATAAAAGAACACGTTGAAACTGTAAATTCCATAGATTTGTATGTTTCTATATACATATATATGTACATATACATGCATGTATCTATTTTTCTGCATTGGTTTAACTTTTCCATGACCTGTTTCATTACACTCCTTACTAAAGCAGTGTGATCCTGTTTAAGCATCCCTATGAGCCCCAACAGTGCCAGAACTGAGCACAGGAAAATGGCAATGCTACTTATTGCAGAAAATTCATTAGATAAGGATCCATTACTGCTTGCATGGAATAAAGGTTAATAGTACTAGTAAACTGTCAGCTACAGCTAAAAAAGGGCATGAATGGAAAGCAGAATTATTTTTATTTTTATTAAATCAAGAGACATATAGCTATTGCTTCATGTGCCAACAGAGGTCACAATTTTCCTGAATAGACAAAGAAATCACAAGAAGGAACATCCTGTCTCATAATAAGGAACCTTATTTTTGAAGTGAACTAATCTCATGCCTAACTGAATTGAGTCAGATCTCAAAATCACACACGTTTCAGTAACATGCCTATACAGATTTGCTATATTGATTTAATAATACTGATTCAAAATCTATATAGTATATCTACCTGACAATTCAGCAATAGTATTGCTACCTCAGATAACCACTCCGGCTTGCACAAACAGCAGCCCAGTCATCTTCTTTCTTCTTTTTCTTCCTCTGCTTACCACTAAAGTTACTCATATTAACTAGCTTTTCAACTTCACCACTAATAATTTCCTTCTCCATTATGTGATGGTCACATGATGATTATCAAAAACCAAGTAAATTCTATACCAATTATTCTCAAATTCTATTTTAAATATTCTTGTATTTTGAATATTAGTGCTTCTACTTCAGATGTGGTGAACTCCTTGTACACTAGAAAGCTTGAAAAAATTGTCCATTTTTTAAATTTTTAATTATACTATCAGCTAACAGAATTAAATAAAATCCTCCACTCAATTTTTTTTTTAGAGAATCAAGTTGTATGAATCTAAGAATGGACTTTATGCCTTTTAGACATATAATGCATTTGTTCTGCCTTCCCAAAGGACTTGCAAAAAGTTATGAAGATACACACATAACAGCTCTTAAAATTCAGCACTGATGACTGACACCAGGCCTGAAAGAATATTTATTTCAGGTCTCTTAATCCAAGAGCCAGACTTCAAAGCTCAATTATTTTAAATTATAATTTTTATTTTATTTTATTTTATTTTGTACCTGCTATTTCTTCACTGTCCTCCCCATCTTCCATTTTACAATGCTGACTTTTACTTTGAGGACATGAACACATGAATAATGTCATTCTGCCTGCACCCTACACATCACTAGAAAGTCACAATTCTTTCTCTGTTGCCAGAAGTCTGAAAACTGTGCACACATTCCACATTCCAAATGTTACCTATACAACTGCAAGAAACAGACAGTGCTTGGTGCATTGAAAGAAGATTCTGGAATAAAGCAGAGTAACAGTCCATGTTTCAAATCTAGCATTTCATTATTAAGTGTCCATAGAAAATCATAAGCAAAGCTTTGTTTTTATTAAGTCATTTCACTATCATGTTATCTTCATAATGTCATACTCATCTTCCAGACCAAATAACCATATATAAGAAAAAGAACAAGTCCTCCAGGCATTTTGTTAATGAAAAAAATTACAGAGTACCAGGTTCCCAAATCAATTCACATACAACGCTTCAAAATTCAGCACGGGTATTTAAAGATCCAGAAACTGCCTCCAATATTACTGAGAGCAAAAACTCCTTCCCAGATTCATGAATATTTGGAAGTAACACAGCAATCAAAAAAGCAGAACAAGGGGAAAAGGAAGAATGTAAAAAAAAAAAAAAAAAAGCGAATGAAGAAAGCTAAGATTCTCCATTTGGATTTCAAAAAAATTTCCCAGGATGGAAAAAAATCCTAAAGCAACAAAACAATAAAGCCAAGGAAACACAGTTTTTCAAGTTTTTTCAACCTGAGATAAGATTAAAACTGTTCATTTTGTTCTCCCTTCGCTCTTCTGTTATTTTACTTATAAAAAACTTCTGTTATTCATTATTCCAGTTAAGTTCTGCATTTCCAGAAATAAAGGGTTCAAACTCAGAACTTAACTTTGGTGGATGAAATAATAATTTTCCCAATTTACCAGAAATGTCCCCTTCTGGACTCACTGAATTCAAAGCTGTATTTTTAGCGCTCCTTAGGTTTGAATTGTACCTCTTAGTTGACAAGTATGGATCAAAGGCTGCTAAATTTTGGAGGAAAATTTAAGGAAAAGAAGTTATCTATTGAGGAGATAACTCTTCCTAAGAAAAACCTTGAACTAAAGTACCAAGGGAATTTTTTTAGGTTGTTTTTCTAATATTTTTACAATGTGGACATTCATAATGTGCAATGAAATACTGTGAATATAAATAAAAGCCAGTCACAAATACACACAAACTACTATGTGCTGTACATTTAGAAAAAAAGTGGAATGATCTGAAAGCAGCAGAAATGCAAGGAGGCCAAGCACATCAGTGTGAGGGCAAAAAGAATGGTGTGACACACCTCACTGCAGTATTTCTGGAAGCATCTCTCTTCCCCTTTCACTTCCCGTGACACTATCAGCAGAAACTCTGACTGCTGAGCCCGGCCACAGCTGTACTGGGAACCTATACTGACAAGCTGAAATAATCAATCAAAGCAAAACACAAAAAGAAACCTTTGTAAAGCTGAAGCACATACTGTTATCCAAATTGTACAAGTAACAGATGAGCTCAAACATTCAGGTAACGCTTACCTGCCACTAGAACAGGTTGCTATCAAGCTACAACTTTCACTTCAACATAAAATTTACTGAGGCAGTTGCAAAGCCCTTTTTAATTTAGATGAAGTTAAGGGTTATTGATAAGAAGATAGAAAACTCCCCATATACCTGTGTTGTAGCCAACTACTCCGATAAACAAAGTTCGGTGCATTGTAAAAGTAACTATTATTTTTCTGTCTCACATTGATTGACAAGTGAAGAAGGTAACATGGATATAAGACTGGAAGGTGTTATGTAAAGCAATATATAAAGCCTGGGTATTAAAGAGCTTAATCTTATTCCAAATACTGATAAAATACAGATAAGGAAACGTAAGTCAACAAGAGGAAAAAACTTTGAGCGGTCTAGATTAGCTTTAGAAGGAGTAATTTACAGAAGATACAAGAAAATAACTGGAGTGTAAAACTGTCTCATTCCCACAAAAATTACTACCAAGAACACTGGCCAAACATCTAATAATTTAAAGTTCAAGCTCAGCTAAATTTCTCAACCTCTTATTACAAAACAAATTTTATCTAAATAACACATGACAATTCCTAGCCCATTTAAATTAAAGCACAGCCTGTCAGTGCACTTTAGGGAGATTAGAACTTAAAATTAAGTGTGAAGAGTTAGAGAACAATTGCCTATTCTGAGTAAACTAGAGATTACGACAGATGCGAAGGTCTACGAATAGTAACTTTACATATATTCTGCTACTGTATGTGAATAATTTTGAAGACACCATTTAAATACCATCCTACTCATACCGTGAACATACCTACAACTGCATTATGGTGTCAGATTAAGGTTACATTAATCATAATCATTAAAATTTACATGACCAACATTTTCTATTCAGACAGTTTGTACAGCCCACAGTTTTTTTTCTATTGTAGTGCCAAAATACTGGGTTTTTTTCTGACTGTCTGAAGAGGCAACAATTGAAGCTAAAAATCTCTACAAAATAAACCACGAAAGTGAGACAGCATAATTTTTGGTAATGGAGTTTGGACTGGGACTAATACATACTTGTACTGTTCTAGAAGATCTTTCAAATGTGTTGTTTGGAAAAGGGTATCAATACATCTGCATAAGTGCACCAACAGTTCAGCACCTTCAACTCCTATTTAATAACCATATACAATCATATTTAATGATAAAATTTCGAAATGCTAGGCATAAAAACACTTTTTTTTTCAAAATCAACAACTTGTACATGTTATATGTGGCTCAAAGCACAAGGACTCTCAATCTGTAGGAGTAACACTCCTCTGAAAAAGCTGACGATTCCATCTTTTTTCACATACAAAGCACAGTGGGTACTGCCCCAAAGACTGCTTCTGAAAGAAAACATGCTGCTGAGCAACGTAGGCTTAGAAAAAATTACAGAAATACTACAGTGTTTGAAGGTATTGACAATAAAACTGTTTATGCACAATATTCTAATCCTGTTTCAAGTGAATGACATCTGCTACAAGCAGGTCTGCAGTACACAGGAGGGAATGGCCTATTGTGAGGTAATGAGATGCTAAGTATTATGAGATCATACAGGTGTTGCGTTTATCTACTTCAAACTAAGTGTCTAAATATGTGCAACATGGGAGGGGGAGGAAGTAGGGAGACAGCTGGATCAAACAAGGATGTTATGTCCAAGAAAACCACTGGATTCTTCCAGTTCTGTAAGAGATTATAATAGGTCTTTCAGCAGTTGCACTGTCAAAGCAGTATTACTCCCAAATACAATAGCCCCAAAGGGTTTAGAATAGGTAAAACATGGTCTCATTTAATCTACTAAAAAGTAAAGGAGCTCTATTTGTAATAAAAGCTAATTTGCCCTGACAAAGAAAAATGTTGAAAAACCTTTTTCCATGCACTGGCCAAAAAACAGTTGTGTATTAAGTGAGATTTTTTTTCAGGGAATCGAACAACATTTGTGGCACGGCAAACAGACCTGGAAATACCTGAAGTGGAGTACTGAAGCATAAAAAGCTCACTCTGTGCCCGTTTAGTCTATTGGCTCATAGCTGTCTCCATGTCACTAGCACCTTACACATTTTATCAAATATAAACAAAATATTCTCTTCTACCTTTGTGTCATAAGCATTTTTTAAATGTTGCTTTGTTGTGTTATTAGAGACTGCACAGGATAATGGGCATGTGCTTATTTCAATTTTTCCTGTTGTAAGCATCAGACACTGGAAAAGGTGCTAGCAGATGAACACTTGTGTTTCAGAGTTAACAGATTCATTGCTCCAATGCAGTTTAAATACCCTGCTGGATTAGGAATGTGAAGGATGAAGCAGCTGTACGGTCAATTTCTTACACCAACTATCAAAGATGTCAGATAGATCTTGTGATTTTACAGTGTGTTTTTGAATGTACACACAAAGCTATTTCTTTGCACTGAAAAAAACTAAAACATTCACAGAGCTCACAGCTGTCAAGCTTCACATCCACACAGGGTAAAGTTCACCCTTCTTTGTGTATCAGTTTTTTTATCTGAAGAACCACTCTTTGGGCCTGGCAAACATTTATCTCCCAAGTTCATCTTTTACCCAGAACTCTTCACATCCAGCCTACCATTCATATAAACTAGTATTAGTTAATTCTGGTTGATTCACCCTTCAACTACCATGTGTAGACACTGAAGAATTATATTTCAGACATGCTGCAGATGTTTTTATAGAAAGTCAGCAAAATTTACCTCCTGGAACTTTTTTGTTGTTTTATGATAAATGCAAACACATTTAACTTAGCTGTATATGTTTATCCAAATTCTAAAAATGACCGAATAAAAAAAGATGCACGGAATTTAATTGATATTCCTCTTTCACAAAAGATACTTCATACTCCTTTTTAGAAGACTACATTAACTGTATTCCATGAATTTTTACCTGTTCAAATTTCCAGCCATCGGACATTGTGGAAACCATTTGAGTGAGTTCCTCTTCCTGACACTGCAGCACTCTGTAGACATGTTTGACTGGCACCTTCAAGAAAAAATATAAGATGCTCAATAGGGCATGGAATTCACTGCATTTGTGACGTGTCTGAAGTTGCCCTTACTCTAGAAATGGTAAGCAACACCACTTTGAACCATCCAGAGCAATGAATTAGGACCATTTTGGCTGAGACCTATAGTAAACGCTATCAGAGCAAGAGCAATCCTGTGATCCGACAACCTGGCTTCAAGAGAAATTTGTCAATAACAATAAAAGTTTGTAATATGTCCATGAAGACTCAGTTATCAGGGAAGCCTGAGTAGCAGAATTAAAGAACAAACTTTATCACATTTACTTTCATGGAAAATATGAGCTGCTATGAGAAGAGGCAACCTTCTCAATCACAGAGCCTTACAAATGAAGAAACTTTGCTACAAAAATATATGACAGGAGCTAAAAAGCATCTGTACTTATGCTGCATAAACATGCTGTATAAACAGCAGATATACCCTAGTTAGGCAACCTCATCATATTTAGAGCATTTAAAAGTCAATGAGAAAGCTATGTTTTACAAAAGCTGCTCTCTAACAAATATTTCCAGAAATGATATTATGACAAATTCTACTATTACCGGACATTTTGGACCAATTACTTAGAATTTTTTCAGTTTTTGAACAAGATCTGTGAACTTTGCAAGCAAGTTGGCAGGAGCCAGAAATTAAGAATATTATTCTTTGTATACTAGTGGCTGCAGATCATCCAGTGATGGAGGCATCCATTCAGTATCCTACTGGGAAAATCAGGAGTTAAATAAAAAAAACAAATGGAACCCGGTCACTACTAGTCATAAGACAAATAATCAAAAGCACACAAGAAAACAACCTCACCTGTGAGATTTTGCTGTCTCTTTCTCTTATTTTGTCCTTTACCAGTTTTATTAGAGATGTGATATTGTAGAATTCAGCCTCTTCCAGTACACCTAGTAGGAAAATATTTTTTGGGAAGACAGTGTAACTAAAGATTCTACGCCAAAATCATCAACTAGCTCATAAGATTATCCTCTCAACAGCTACAGAAAATTATTTATTTTTCCCTATAATAAGACAGTTCACCAACCTAATGATTCTGGCTTCTTTCAGGCACATGTAATTCAATGTTTGGCTCATTCTAAAGAATTGCCCTAAAAATATCCCAAATATAACTGATGCCATTTCACATACAAAATGAAGCAAGAAACAAAAAAAAATGCACACAGATACCATTCCATAGCAGACTGGTAAGACCACCATACCTCAGGCCCTCCCTCAGGCTGGAATATAAGAGAGAAATTTAAATAATCCCATTAAAAATCTCTGCAACTGCTAGCAAACAGAAAATTTTTCTTCCTGTCATTTGAGATCTTAAGAATCTGAAACTAAGAAAAGCTTAAGGACACATACTGCTTCTACTCAAGGCCTACCTATTCTCCATACACAGTATGCTCAACAATACACATGGAAAATGTATTTCATATTCTTTCCTCCTAGTACTGTTAAATTGTATTTCTCTTTGATAAATTTCTTCAACATGCTATTGATACAGTTTTATTACTGTATGTTTTAAAACAGTCATCCTCCATTAGGGTAAAATTGATACAAACTGGGAACAAGGAGGGAGAAGCTGGGGGCAGAATTCAGTCTTTAAAAGCATATTGCACACATCTGAACATGCCAGAGCTTCACTTTTAGCTTGCTTTACATCTTATAAAGCTTGTTTCCTAGGCAGCATTCTTTTGCTTAAAGAGGACTAAACCCAAGTATTTCACAGTCACACAGGAAAGATACACGATTACACAACAAAAGGCATATCCCCCCTGGTTTGAATGCTTATGTTCCAACTGAGAATGGGGGTTGTGAAATCAGGAATCATACTCAAAATGCTCAAATAACCCCATATCCTACAAATGCCTGATACCTATCAGTTTTGCTTGAAACAGATAGAAATGCTACACTGGTTAAGGTTTGCCATTAATTTTGGTTTGACTCAAAAGAAGTGAAATAGTAAGTGGCAAGCAAACAAAGTATTTAGAAATGTCTTACCTTCCTCAGCTAGGTCCTTGTTAATGACCAGTTTCCCATGTCTGAGATAGTTCAGCACTGGCCCAAAGTAGGTTGGGTCTCTGTCTATTAAATAGGCACCTGTTTCATCCTAGATTAGAAAAACAAACAAACACAAACCAAACAAACAACCCAAAACAAAGCAAGAGAACACCAAAGCCCAAACCAAACAAACAAAAAACCCCACAATGATTTGAACATCTAAGTGGGAACTGGGAGCTAATATTCATCTTGCAGCGAGCAGGTATTCAGACGTAGCCACAGTCCTGAAAGCTGGATTTATTAAAGACAATAAAAGGAATTAAACAATACAACTGTCATGGTGTCAGACTGATCAATCAAATCATCCAATACACAACTTTTCTTATCTGATAAATCCTCCAACACCTTATCAATGATTAACAACATTGTTAACATGATCTAAGTGGTAAGTGAGAACACTGAAAGTTAAGGTTAAAAATAGCTCTTATAACCAGGAAATTTTATTTGGGAGCCTGAAGAATCAGAACGAAGTCTACATTCTAGTGAGCTTCAAATACCAGTTTTTTGTTTTGATTTTTTTTTTTTTTATTAAAGGCAAACAAACCTAACTCTTTTTAACCTCAATACTTTGCTCTAAAAACATTTGCTTTTGTCTTAGCTCAGATATACAAATACTCACAGTTAGGGTTAGGGTTCTCACTGAGAACTGCTGTGTACCAAGCAAGGGCTGTAAATGCATCTTCAAAAATGAAAAAAGTACACTGAAGATGCAATTCCTACCCATCTCATGCAGACAAGTGAAGGAATAGATGAACAGACCAAATTAATGCTCAGTTTACCAAAGAGACCACAGTGTTTTGTGAATTGCAAAACAGTTCAAAAAATTCACCTGCAGAGCTGATATTCTTGACAAAGAGATAAAGACGTAAAATTGATAATCCCTATGTTATTTAGAATCTATGTGTGAACCCCAACAATCAGGACAGTACTGACATACTTTGTGCTGACCAGAAGTTGAAAGAAGATTCAGAGAGATTTCTAGCGGATCCACTGCTCCTTACTACTGTCAAGTGGATTACTGATTGTATTAATCCATTAGTACATAAGGCTTTGGTGCAATGGATAATCTAAAGATATATACCGGAGAGATTATGGCAGCACCCCAAATACTTTTTTACTTATTTTTAATACTCTAGTAGTTTACAGGAGATACTCAAAAAGTCATCATTACTAATAATACTAGCTATGTGTAGATCATGCTCCCTCAAAACCATAGGTACTAGCAATAATTGCTCTTCCATATGAAAGAAATTCTACTGACTCTATCCTCTGCATTTGAACATTAATGCTTACACGAAAAGGTTTGATTACTGAACTGTGATACCTGAAAGCTCTCTCTACTTGTTGTACATAGAGTGCCTAAAATGTTTCACTGGGAAAAAAAAAACAAGGCAGGTACCTGTATTTTCAGGTACAGAGATTTAGTTTCTGAGTAACTGCACTTGTCTAACCAGGATTGGTAGAATGTAGAAAGATGACAGCCTGAACTACAAAAGCCATAAATCCTTTCTACAATTACAATTAAATGCTTTACACACCTAAACACAGTGTCATTTGAGAAGAAGTGAAGGAGTTTATAGTTTTGTATAAAATTAACTGTTCAAGAAAATGCTAACATGTTAAAACGTGCTGTCAGTCAACCTACATCCAGACCAGACAATACTCTATGAAGTCTAATGGCAATTTCTTCTGATCTAAGCTCATGGCCTCACAAAAGTGAGACTATGCACCAAAACCATAGATAGATGAAGTAGTATAATTTTAATATTTCATCTATAAATATACTTACATTACCGCAACACTTCAGGAACGTACAATCTACAGATACAACCCAAAGAAATAAAAATAGCTGAATGAACAACTGTATGAATTATAAGCTGAAAAGTATTATTTAGTAAAGGAAAAGAAACCAGTGAGGTTGGAAAGAAAGATCCAAAACAGATAAAAAGAAACTCTGTTTTAAAGGAAAAAACCCTGTACTTGGTCATCATCTGAACTGCATTAAGAAACACAGGACATACAAAACTAGAAGTCTTCCCAGTTAAGAAAAACAAATCTCTAGAAATAATGTCCCTCCTTAAGATGATTGTAATTTTTTACACTGCAGTGTTTTCTCACATCACCTTCTGAAGCAATGCCAGTCATCAGCTCAATACCACTACAGAGATAGAGAGGTGGGTCACGGAAGCAAAGTGACTAAAAGCTCTAAATGAAATCTTAAGTAACAATGGCTGCTTCACTCCTTGCACAAAAGGCATGAAAAAAAAATAATTTAAAGGCCTACATTATCTGAAATTAGTTTTTTCTGAGTTGATTTCTATACACTAAACAAGCTTCAAATGAAACCACAAAGGGAAGAAGCTGTATCAGGCCTTGTCTTTCAACTTCTACTTTATGAGAGGTCATACATGAAAAAAATACCATCTCACTAGTGTCATACTCTACAAAGCCTTTCAGACAACAAGGTGTCTTGAAAAGTAATAAAAAAGAAGGCACACAAAAGCCCCATAATTTTTGCTGTAATAATTTTTTTGTTTTTTACATTAATAAATATCAACAGTTAAAGAACTCTGGCTAAATTCTAGCAGCGTGCAACCCAAATTCTGTCAGCAGGATTCACTTGAGCATCTAACTTCCACACTAAAGTCACTTACTCAGATTACAGACATAGAAAATATGCATTAATTAACATTAAGAGGAAGATGTGTGTCTTGAACATTGACCTGACAGCTCAGATACACTACACACTAGCACCAGGGAGCCAAGAGCCAAAAGATGAACCAATCAGTAAAGAATATTGTAACCATATGCAAATAATGCACAGGACTGCAGCAAAATATTTACTTCCTCAGCATCTTCCTACAGACAATGCTTTATCACTCCTTTTGAGTGAGCTGCCTGAATAGCCTTCAATGTATGCTAAGTACTTCATGTTGAAATCACTAAGAAAAGCCGATTACACTAGCTCTTTAAGGACAGTAATGTAAACATAAATCCAATACAAGCTGACATAGAAGTGCAGTCATCTGCTCTACCTAGTACTCTAAAAATACAGGTCCTAAGTCTTTCAGAATATTATCAGGACTATTTTCAACCACATGCACATGAAAGCACACTGTATTATCACATGTAATTAGCATTTCGACACTTTCAATATAAACAGTTTTATTGTAAGATAAAATAATAAACTGCAAATGTGATCCAATGTGATCTGGACAATTTAAAGAGGCAGCTAGTTTGCATGTACGTAACTAGCCTTAGGCTTGCTAGCTTAAGTATTAATAGCTTTTGATGTTCCAGCTACGCAGTTTCCTCTGCTAACTAGTAAATTGTTTTTCTACAAGCTTTGAACAAGTTTGAATCTTTGCTGACACAACAAGCGTAGGTATTTTTGAAGCCATTTACCAAACTTCAGGTGAATAACACAAATGTTAGAAAAATCTATATTCTAATAACGTTTCAAAGTTCTCTCTCTTTCAGATGTATTTTATACAAACAGGTGTTAATGGTTACTGGAACAGCAGCAGAAATTCTAGTTTCCTCTCTATTCAGTGTAGTCACATCATCCCACACTCAGAGGTCTTTCCTGCAATTGTTGACAGTCTTCATAAGAAAACTCAAAACAAATGCACGCTGTCTTTGTGTATCCAACCCTAAACTGCTAGTTAATCACATGGCTGTTTGTATCTTTACCCAGTTCTACTTCGGCATTACATTCTCCTCTCAAGAGTTTTTTCTTGTCTGTAAGTTCTAGGCCTTCTAGTTCTAGTTTCATACGTGCTTATGAGGACACCATTTAAAAGACAGCACTGCCCATGATCAGTGAAGACTGCATGTGTTTATTACCACTCTCCCACACTAATGCTTAGTTCAAGTTACAAACACCATGGAATTTTAGAGGAAACCTAGTAATCACCTGGTTCAGCATACCAATGAAAAGTCAGTGTAGCTCACAAGTTCATTCCTTTGTAAAAATACTGACTAAAGCAATTAAATGATCATGTATTCCAGTTGCAAATGTTTTCACTTCAATCTTTATAGAGACTGAGGCTTAAAGGAATCATAATGAACACTTACCCTGATCTTAGTTTAAAACACACAAAGAACTCAATTTATTTACAGTGAAATTTAACCTTTAGAAAGTAGCAGTGAAACCTAACCATTCCAATAAATAATTACTGTCACTGCTAATATTATATACTTTCTAGCAAGGACATCTATAGTTTGACACTTTGCTAGATGGATTTCACAACACCTTTACTAGACTGAACAGGCTTCACTATCAATAGATTCCTTGCCGCCATGTATGTTCTTCTGGACTGAGAAGTCAGTTCAAAAACTTCTTGCCAAAATAAATTTTGTTCTTTAAAACTTTTCACCAAATCATCTTATTTCACCTTGTGACTAGTCACTGCCCTGTTACGACCTTGAACTGTGGATGCTAGAATCCAGTACAGGATTCCAGTAGGACTCAAAAGGTGGACCAAATACATTCACCTCCTTAATCTCATTTAACCATCTCCCCAAGAACTGCACTAAAACACTAGCTGAAATGTCATAAATTCATTTCCGATTAGTTATCTTCATTGGGATCCAATACTGGATCAGGATACGCTCAAGTTATGCTTGAGCTCTTGGCTCAAGGCTATATGCTCTAACACGAATATTTTAAAAAATGACACAATTTACATATTCTGAGCTCTGATAAAGGCAGCAACATGCACAGAAATACAGTAATATTTGGTACTAAATCTGGATTTATAAATAATTATCTCCCCTATCATCTGTGCTTTTAAAATACTGAACTAGTGAAGTTTTTACAAACTGTGTAGCCTAATGAGTGTCTGCAGACTAGCAGTACTTATCAAAACTACATCAGTAACACAACCCATCTGACACGTCAGAAATTTCACGGACAAATGAAATGTATCTCTTACTTAGAATAACGACTACAATTTAGATAGTTCTTAATGCTGACAGTCAAGGTTGTGCTACTAGGAAGATTTTGATTTTTCTAAAACACTCAGTGCTTGTGTGCTTTCTTCTTTA